CCACGGGCGGACGATCCTCTCGAGCCGTGTGGAGTTCAACGCGTACCGATTGCAGGGAAGGCGCGTGTGCTGCATACGCGCGTCCCGGTGCTGGAGGTTAGATAACGGTGTAGCAGCCAGGTAGCAGACACGAAGACGACCTAACCCGCAGGGCTGAAGAGAGCGGGAGGATGGCTGAGTAGAGAAGTGGAGAGAAGAGACGGAAGAATCGCGCGCGATTCCAGAAAGAGAGAGACGTGTCGACGTTGTACGTCATTTCAGACGCGCGCGCACACATAATAGCCTGAGAACAAAGATGATATGGAGGAATATAGGAGAAAGAAGGCATTTCGTCAGCCTTCTGCATCATCTCCGCCTAGCCCAGATTTCGAATCCCTTTTCATAGCGGTCGGGCCCGCCAATCATGACCGGTCTCGCTTAAACCCAAACTACCCAAGTTCTGTAATCATCGATCCTTCGTGAGAGTATGACGAGTCGAGATGAAAGAAGGAAAGAGAGGCACCGCGTTCCCGAGATAACGCTCGTCTCGCGAGAAACTCGCCGGGGTTTCTCGTCGCTGATATCTAGCGGAGAAATGCGGGACATCGATCTTCCTCTAGATCTACTGCGACCGCGGGAGAAGGAGGAAGGGAGAAAGCGAAAGCACCCAGGCAATCGCCGTCGGAAGTTTCTCGCCGGGGGAGAATTCCGGAGTGGCAGATGAAATCGAGACGATCGACCCGGGTTAACCCGACGTGACGAAAAGTATCGAGGTGTGCGAGTTGTATTCGAGTGTCGCGCGAACGGATGGCGCCCAATTAAATAGAGAAAGACGAACGTGACACTGCGGGAGATTTCCGCAGAGTCTGGCCACCGTCAGATCTCGTGCAGGCATATATACTCTCTAATGCTTTTCTAACGACCATCCGTGTCGTTATGATGGGACCGTGTGCCGGTCTTTTCGTTCTTAGTGAGGCGGAGAGATAACTCGGCACAAATCCGATTCACGAAGTAACGGAGTACAATCTCTCGGCCATCTCTTGCTGCACGACTTTGATGAAACTCGACGCCACGTAGTCGCGTTGTTCGACCGGGTTGGAGCTCGCGCGTAAACTTCTTTATTTAATAAAACACGAAGTTCCCCGTCAAACTCGTACATCGAGATATTCGAGCGGCGTGGATGTAAATCGAGAAGCGGGTGAAAAGAGAAGGATCGTTGCTCAGGACCTTCAAATATGAGTTCATCGTTACTAAGGACCACCTGGCAACAAGAAGTTACATACATTCCACAGGATTCCTGCGTCTTCAAGCAGAAAGATACTGCAGCTGCTTTCTGAGAAAAAGGAGAAGCAACTATCAAACATACACACACACACACACACACACACACACACACACACACACACATATATATATATATATATATATATGATTAAGTAATAATAATTGCTATACGAACATTTCACACGATAATGAAACGAATATCGTAATTCTACATATAACATTGATACTAATCTTTAGAATTTATTGCCAGTATCCGTTTTAAAGATGACATTATGCGTTGTACGCGTTTCAGCGAGATACGAGGCGAGGATAAATTCTCGCCTCGTATCTCGCAAGGAATTACACACGATAATTATAAAGGCAATTCGAGGTAATGTCCTCGTCACTCGTGATATGATTTATTTCGCGTTTACGCTTTAGCATCGGTGCGGCAACCGACATTTATCGGCCGTAATGGCGAGTGCTGGTCGAGGAATGAAATCATCGCTCGAAATTGGACTAGTCCTTTGTTGCCCAACCGAAAAGGGCTGCATTCTCATCGGTCGGCTTGCCGGAACGCCATTGCCACATTGCGCTGCGCAGGTCGGCAATAAATTATGAAGATTGATGTTTCGCAAATCAAAGCCAGTCTCTCTCGCGAAAGCAGCACTTCAAAAACAGTCGCCGAGTGCGAAGAGAGAAATATGAGAGTTAAGCGGTGGTGAATATCGGATGATCTTTCAAAGAAATCGTCTCACCACTTACAACGACCTCATAGTTTTCTATGGATTAGGATTTTACGTGTCGCGATCTTGAAATCGACCGTAGCGAAATCCATTCATCCGCTCGGTACAACTCAGCTCGGCTCTTCGTGCAAGTTTTACGATGTCGTGTCGATTTGCAGATCTCTCGGCGTGGTTGACCCGTTTCTTCGTCAGTCGGTCGGTGCGGCTAAGCGACTTTTAAGGTCTTCAGAAAGGCTGCTTCGCCTTTACACTTAAGAGTTTACGGTTCACACGACCCCGATGCCGCCGATCTTAGAGGCCATCACGACGATTTGCATGGTTCTGATGCCGCTTGCCAGGCGTGTCGTTTTGACTTCGGGACCGGCAGGTACGCGTTTTCCTACCGTTCATCGACAATCGACGGGAAGCGAGTAATTGACTTCAAGGTAACGTCGAGTTGATGTTAACGCGAAAAACGGCGCACCCCGAATCACGTCGCTGTTATGATTGAAAACCGAGAAGCGACCGCGAATATCTTCCAGCTGTGGCTTGAACATCAAGTCAACCCATCGAGACGGATGACATTAAGTACATTTGTGGTACATGTACCTTCCCTGTTGAGATGTCACGTCGAGAGGCGAACTCTGACATTTCTGACATCACGAGAATTTTATTTGAGAACGCGCGAGTAAAATGTAAGATTATTTATTTATGATTAACAGATCAAGCAATCTCTAATTGCCATAGCAAAGGTTAAAGAAAAGATTATCTATTTAAAAAATCGTGCACAATACATATTAATTCAATTGTTAGTAAAAAAATGATAATATTTAGATTTAATTTATATTAAGATGTTTCTATAATAACATTAATTAAATTTAATTGTCACTGATTTGACTATCTTTTTATTAAAAATAATACTTAAAAAAAGTTTGAGAATCAACTGAACTTCAATAAATTTGATATCTATTAGAATGGAACACAAATGTTGAAATTAAACTTGTAAAATCTAATATATCGATTAATTAATTTCTGAATAACGTTTCTAAATAATAAATTTATTACTAATATTCAACATAAAATTATAGAAATGTAAATTGTGATATATACGTGTTATTACAATTGAATTGTTAATTGAATTCTATGATTGTGATCGCAAAACAGACAAATTCGCAAAAATAACGGGCATAAATATTGAGAATACCTGAAGGGAGAGAAAGGTAAAGATGAAATGGCATAAGGCGAGTCGATCATGAGGTCGATTATCGCAGTAACGGCACTTCTTACAATAATTGACGGATCGTGCAGCGTTTCGGCCCAGAGCAAAATTGCCAGGTACAGCCTGGGACTACAATATGCGTGCCTTATGCACAGATACGTCCATCATCTTAATTGCGAAAGATACACATCTTAATTCGGATCAAGGACAATCATGTTACAGGCTCACGCCTCGAGCAACTGATACGACAATTTATTGTTTATGGCTGGCAGCGATCAGACTTGTTGCGGCAGCGCGCGTGAACAATGAGCACTTAGAAACTCTACGACAATTTAACTATTGACCCGCGGTATAAATGTTAACTGTATCCGCGACGAAGTCATTCAAGTAATCGTTTGGAGTCTGACGTCTATCGCCGTCATATCTATCCGAAATAAATTATTTATATACATCATAACTCATGTAGACTGACAGAACCATAAGCGATCGCTCGTGGTTGCAAGTAGCACCTGCACTTAAATTACCCTTTTACTGGCCAATCTACCGCGGGTAGGTAGCTACTGTGATGTAAGTGGATGCAAAGACGCAACGACGCATGATCATCCTCGATATACGATCCCGGGATTAAGCGCGCCTTATTTTTCCTACAAAAATCACCGATTAACTGTAAAACGGCGGGTAGGTAAATGAACGCACGCGGACACGAGCGTGCTCCGCGGGAGCGCTCCGTATGCTCGAGGGCACCGCCGCAACACACCCACTCCTCTCATCCGCTAATGGAATTACCTGTTCGAGTTTACAGAAACCCATAAGCGGGGTTTGTGTGTCCTAAGAACACAGAGCGTGTGAATATATATGGCGCGCGCGCGCTTTGTATATGCGCTGTGTATATGCGTACGTTCACGTTGGACGCGAGCTTGCATACGGGTTCACACGCGTGTAGGTGTACATGCGATGAAACAGACGCAAGTGGAAATTATCAGCGCCTTTGCCTTCCATCGCCCGAGGCGAGCGACGACCTCCGCGCGATCCTCCCACCTTCCGTGCGCGCGAGCATTTTCCACTTGGACTTAGCCGTATTACATTGAGGCTTCAATTCCATTTAGACGATGTTACACGCGACTGATTCCGTATCGTGCATGTTACATCATAGAACGAGACGTGTCGAATTGATATAAGCTCACGTGCCTGTATGATTAGAATATTGTTCATTGATCGTTACGCCGGAAAGGCGTTCAACCGCGGAAGATTGCGTAACTTCTTATAATAGCTAATTATCGTCGTACACAGAGAAGGTATGTCTAGACGCTGATATTTCTCCTGAAGTATTACGGCGTATGTTATTAATGATGCCATGCGATACATCCGAATGACATTCCTACGCCGCTGAGCATCCGAAAGCATCCGTTCATTACGACGCGAGCGCATAATTAGATGGAGAAAAAATCTGTTGGCTCGTAATTGCTCGGACAATTACGGCAGCCCATGCCGCGCCTTTTCATCGCTAATCGTCGGTTTAAACACAAATCTACCGAGTTTTATCCGGTCTAGCGGTACAGCACCGAGAGGAAGTGGCCAAGTTGCTCTGTACGTTGGATGACTGCACAACTTTGAGTATTTCGCGATTTCTCATCCCTGGGTTCCTCTTCCCAGGTAATAGTAACTCTCACATCTCCAATTCATTCGATCATGTCCAATCTATTCGACGCGATCTATTCGATCCATATAGAATCGAATCACGCTGCACGACTTGTGTCCAAGATTGATGACTAGACTTTCAACTTTTTTCATTTCGCGCGTCTAATTCCTCAAACCACAACGGATCAATAAGTGGTGAAGATACATTTGCATCCATGCTACTTGTGCCTACGCGTATACGATCATTTGTCAGAGCGTGCGGTTGACCGGAAATCGCCATATTATCGTTCGTGCTAGACAGAAAACTCATTTCCATGAGACGATATCCTTCCATACCTACATACTCTCAGACATTTGGACTGCATCCGACGCGGAAGAGTCGAGACGGCTGAACGTCAAACAATACTCGGTCCGTGAATGTATTTGCTTTTGTCGTTTAATGGTGGCTTCGACCAGGAGCAGTAAGAAAGAAAGATGAGAACCTGGGACAAGAAAGATGTACCGTGGGAGCCAACGGCCTCGTTTCATGGTTTCTGCCCCGTGAAAGTGATCCGATATTATAACGAAAACACGCTATTAGATCCTACGTTGCTATTCGAGATCCACTCGAGATCGTGAACTGATGGATCGCGGTCATTTGTTCGGCACGACTACGTTGTCCCGTGTTTGTCGCTCGTCCGTTCAGGCCGTTACGCAATCACGATTCGCGTCAAAGGTCAATACTTAAGATATTTCATCTTGAAGCTCTGACAAAGGCGCGATCGAAATGTCGTGGAGAAACTTGACGAAGGAAAAAACGCGCTATTCTTTAGGGGACATGATTAACGTGATTTAATGTTTCCTTTTTTCTTTTAAGTTTTATTCATAATGCACGTAAGAAAGAAATATTTTAGAAACGTTACTTATTCCAAACATTCCAAAGCATTCATAATATTTTGATAAATTTTTTTTGCACATTAGAACGAACTTTACATCAATGTTAATCCTCAACTACAACTATGAAAAATACACTTAAGTTCTAAAGAATCTTATTTGAAGTACAGAATGCAAATGAACCTTAAGATAATTAATGTAGAAACATTCAAAATATATTTTATCTATAAAATCTTCATAATATCAATCATGCAGATTGTATATCATCTACAAATTTTCGTTTAGATCCAAATTACTCGTTGCTATAGTTAAGAGTTAATAAAGATGATACTCTCAATTTCTAATTCATTCAAAAATAAGCGTAATACAGGCAAAAAGTCATCAGAATTTAAAGATATTAGATATGTTTAATTAAATATATCTAAGATATCTAAGATTTCTCGGGATTAGCAATAGAGATTCCACAAGTAATTAAGTCTCTTCTTGATTACTGTGCATGATAGAGTGCGTTTCACCTGCGGCAGGATCGTTGAAGAAAGGAATAATCAATGATGCTGGTCCGTTGTCATTCAATAAAACACCCGCTTGTCTTTACCGTTAAATCGTCAAAGCGGTTTCCACAGTTTCTCGGTAAATAATCCGATCTGTGCGAGTGCTTCGGTCATAGAACGCAAAGTTACGCAGAGTGCGGCCCTCGAGGCGGCTTTCGCGCCAATGGGGCAATGAATCATCTGGTAACGCAGCCTGTCTCGTCATTACTTTCCTCACTGATCGGTTCAAAGACAGGCTCGTTCATAAGGTCAAAAGCATTTTCGCATCCAAGACTCGTTATCGAGAGAGTTCCCAGGAATGATGCTCCTTATTCGAGCAATTCGATCAAGAGCTCTCGGCAACAAATGGCCATCTTCGATAATCGCGAGGGAGGACCGCGTGTTTCTATCGCGATATACCTTGTTGCGGCTCGTTTCACAATCAACATGATATCGTTCTTGGTTGGGCATTACGACAGATGACGATGACTTTGCGCGGACAATGTTGCGAGAGCAGCTGCCCGGTGCAATGTGTCTGTCCAGTCGCGACCACACACGTACTCTCCCTTTCCACCGTGAAATCAAAGCCAGTGAACGTGCTCATTCCGTGAGATTCCAGCGGGGCACTCTCGCGCGATCACGTAACCCCGCGATTGCTATCGATAGATTCCTCAGGAATCTCGCGGTCGTAACTTCGCGAGCGGCGAGCAGACGAGCATGATGATGATATACGCGTAAGAAATTTGTTCCTTGACGTGCGCGTCTTAAGTTTGTGAAAAAGATGAGTATCGTCTTGCGGTATCGATGACTCGCTCGATTTGCGAGATATCAGATGATGAGCGACGAAATCGAAGTGGTCTACATCTCGCACGATGCGAATATTCTGAATAGCGAGCACTTTTGAAACGTGTAATCGTGTCGATGAGCATGAGAAATTATAAATTACAATAGCAATCTGTGCTTAATTGCCGAAGGATCATTAATCTACGAATGCCATGACAGGTTGTAACGTTGTGCGAAGAAAAGGAAATGTGAATACGGCTAAACTACAGCGGATTGCAATGTGGTTACTGAAATAAATTGTTATAGAGATGCACGTGCGCTACCTACTTCTATACAAAGGAAGGCTTAATAATCTTGATAGTCTAACGAGCAGCGGTAGATTTAAACGCCTAAATCAATTTCGCGCCTTTGAATAGATACGCGTATCTGCGATATATCGTAGATATGCGAAATCAGTTATCGCACGATTCTACCGTATTTCCCTTTCGTCGCGTGCGAAATTTCACACCTCGTTTATCATGCACGATAGCACGCGAGATACGACAGATTAATCTCAACGAGATTTTTTTTTAACAGTTAAACGAACGCTCGTGGTTTCTGAAAGCATGACTAACAAAGTAAATCTCGTTTCGTGTCTTATTAATATGCAGAGCGTCTTTTTTAAGTTCAGTGTTACTGTTGCCCGTTGAAGAGTCGTTGCTTCGAGAAATGTCCCAAATATTCCAAGATAAAATTTGCGGCTAGCAAAAAGGAGAGAAAGAGAAAAAAAGTCTGAAAGGCAAGACTCGCAGCCAAGGGCAGCCAAGTGGGTCCGCCTCTGCGTTTCTCTCGATTCTTTTCTTTCTTCTCCGACAATATCCGATGCGCTGACAAATAAAGCAGAAATTTCGAAGCGAACGTAAACGGGCGTGCTCGTTGTTTTATCCGTCCCGTAATTGATCGCGCGGGAACGCCGCCGCCGCCGCCACCGCCGTAGACCGGGTCGCAGTGATGTCAGCCATCGTGTAGGGCACGCGACTTGCACGAGTATGTGGATAGGCCCTTTCAAGGTCGGCTGCCGACCAGGATTATCCCGTGGAATCCTCGATCACGCGCCTCTTGCTACTTAAAGCGTGTCGGAGCAAAACATCTTTCCTCAGCTCTTGCCATGACTGCATCAAGGTCGACCGGATGGGAGAGCGAACGACTTTAGAAGAATTTACGTTGGTTAGCTCGAAATTGGTCTCCTCTACCAATCTCATTTTCAAATAAATATTATGTATCATTGATAATTTATTTCATCGGCAAAGAGATCATCGAAATAGCTTACATTTAAACTCATCAGATTAGGTCTTTAAAGATACGCTATATTAGAAGTAATAGAAAATATCTATTAGCTGTAATATATAATTATGTCTCCAGTGTTCAAGACATACAATTTCGTGATTCATTAAGCGACGGAATCAAGAATATCATTAAGAATTACTCTTGATATTTCTATTCTCGTCCGATGAATTTGGATAAATGTTATTTGGATAAATATTATACCTGATATAACTTTCTAATTATATCTAATATATGTTAAACATGAACACGTTTACGCGTTATTTTAATTAATAATTCATTCGAGGATATATTAGGATTTCAACGCGGGGAAAACAGTTTTGTTAAAGTATCTGAAAATTTTGTTGAATCATGAAAAAATTGTTTTAAATCATCAAAATAATTATGTAAGAGATTCAAGCATGACAATAATGCTGCAAAAGTTTGACATTTTAATAATCAGTTTGAGTGTTCTTATAATTATTTTTAAAATTATTTTCAAATCTAGCTAAATTTTTCTTCAACAAAACTGTTCTTTCCGTGAAGGTAAATTCACTCGTTAGATCTAAAAGTTGGAGTATACGAAATATACATAGTATTTACAGAACAATGTATTGTTGCTGTGCATTCTGTTGCTGCGAAATGATAACCGTAACTACTAAAATAACGCCGTAAATTCGACGACATGATAATCTTTATCCTCGAACGATTTCCCGAGTTCTGGTGCACAACGAGCTGCGAGCACAAGTGAAACATCGTATATAATAGACATGAGCTCGTTGCTCTTGACAAGGCGCGTTCAGAGCAATGCGCAACCCGATGAGTACTTTGTTATTAATCCCGCAGCTCGCGGCGAGGCACGATTCCGCTTTCGAAACTCAAACTTATCCCATAATTAACGACGGCGGCCGCGGTATTACTTTCGACTGCCCGTCAACCGCGTCACGCTTAGGTTCTTCCATGGTGCTATCCGCATGGTTTTCTCAGAGGAAACATAACCAGGGTTAACGAGATCTCCGGAGCCCTCTTGACTCTCTCACCATGGTGACTCAGAATTCGCGATTGCTCAGTCGGAAGTCGCGAGCGTGTACGAGGCATAATAAGCAGCTATTGTACGTCTTGGTAGCATATGGCATATGCACCAGCGAGTGTAATACAGGGGTAAAACGTGTTTCTTGCGCGAATGAGAAGAAAACGAAAGACGATAACATTGTCGTCGTTGGTCGTATCCTTGCATGACGGCTGTTAACAGTAACCTCACGTACGAAATCTCTGTGCCAGAAAAGGCATCATATTTCATCCGATACCTATTTTCTGGCTCACTTTTTTTCGCACGGACGCGTTCCATGACGTCAAACGTTATTTCATCATGAACGTATGAAAAGACGAAACAATCTGTTGAGATAATCATGCTTCTCGCAAACGTTTCACTGTAAGCCATAAAATCCAGAGATTCATTTTAAGAAGGCGATCTTTGTGCAATTTTAGTTATCGTGTAGCGAAACGTGTTATGAAAAGCAAAACTTGATCTCCTTATTGCAGGCTATTTCTTCAATTTGAACAAAGATAGACGAATAACGAAAAGATAATAGAGAGAAGAACTGTCATTATGTCGTTTGTTTAATCGTTTTCTTTCATCTTGAAACGGCGCGGTTTGATGACAGCATTTAGAGGCACGTAATCGATAGTTTGGACTACTTGCTCAATATTGTGTCGAAACAACAATAAAAATGTTAATAAAAACAGTAAAAGCTTGTTAGATAAAGAACGATTAGATAAATCCACTGTTACGAGAATTCATTTTGATGCTAGAGTGATTTTACTAGAATCGATAGAGAATCGTCAA